CCCGCCCGCGACTGCAGCGCTCCCCCGCGCAAGGGTTACGGAAATCATTCCATACATTCTTTATCCGCCTTGACATTCAGCGTGTGATTGCGGTGTGAGTTGACACAAGTTTACAAGTTCCAAGTCCCTCATTCTCTTTTCTTCGGCTACCTTCGGATTGTAAAAATGAATCATACTAAGGACAGGTAAAATACTCTCAGCTATCAGCTTACCTTGAATTAACCATGTAATCATACCTATCATCATACTTAGTCTCCGAGAAATGAACCATTTACTTTCATTTTTTTTTTTTTTTTTTTTTTTTTTTTTTTTTTNTTTTTTTTTTTTTTTTTTTTTTTTTTTTTTTTTTTTTTTTTTTTTTATTTTGCACAAAACAAATTTATCATTGTACAAGAAAGGGCTTTTAGATCTATACAATCTTTAAAAAGCGATTTTAACTTTAGCCTTAAATATTAGCTAGCAACTATTTTTAACAAGATAAAGAAACCAACCTAAAGTAAACAGGTGGAGAGTTTAGAGCCAAATTATTACATAATAATATGGGTCAATTTTTTGAACAAATTTCAGTATGCTAACCATCTGAAACAAGATATGTCTCCTTGTATGATCAAGTAAAACAAGGAACCTTAGGAGACATATAATTTAAACTTTTGTAAGCGACATAATTTTTGCTAAAGCGTCTAGCAAAATTGAGTTTTTTTGTACGACTTCTATTAAAGTTTTTACAACTTCCATGAAATTATTAGTTTGCTCTTCTATCATTTTTTCGTGTTTATCTAATTTCTTATCAATCAGCTCGAGCTGGAGTTGATAATTTTTAATGATAGTTGATTCATTCATAATTGATTGTGAGTCAGAGATTTTATTTGATTGAATTGAATGCGCTTGGTCTTGACCGCGTAATATATCAGAATAAGACTTTTTAACTTTGTCTTGTTTCTCCGTATTCTGAATTATTTCCTCTTTTTTCGGAGGAAATTTTCTTTTTTGAATTTCGGCTCTGACCTTGCAGCCTAAAAAGTTTGCGGGGTGTTGACCTCCGCAGAGAGCACAATTTGGAGGTGGTGAACAGGTTGGAATACCCTCAATTGAGGGGGTTCTTATGGGACACACCTGTGCTACGTGAAAGTCACCACACCATATGCAACGTGGTGGACGAAAACATCCCCCTTTTGCATGCCCAAAAGACCAGCAATTTTTGCATTGGATGATCCTTCTTTGAAGTTTGGGTGGTTCGAAAGAAACTAGAAAATTGTTAATTTCCTTAATGGAGTCTAAACTTTTTTTGAAGTCAGAGAAGTTTGCCCATGGTTCGAAATCGACGAAAAAGAGGGCTAGTTTACTTTTGTCTTTTAGTCTGCGTACTTGGCTTACATTCCTGATGATAATGTTTTCATTAGTTTCTAAACTATTTTTAATGTCACTTGTCGGAAAGTCTACTGGTAAACCCTTAATTACCATTCTGACAGCTTTAGCATTTCTTGGTTGAAATGTGTGGAAGGGAATCTTTTTCTCTTTAAATGAGTTAGTTAAATTTTTGTACTCATCAAACGAATTGACAACAATTTTTAGTTGTGTACGATTGATTGCTTTCATTTTTGCCGCTGGGGCAATTGAGTCAACTACGATTTCCCTAAATTTGGCTGAATCTTTGATTCGCGAGACAAAAATGGGAGGAGGAAGGGAGGGTTTTACAATTTTTTCATTGTTAACATTTGAGTCACTAAGTATACTAAATTTAGAATTATTAAGGTTCACTTTCACTGGAATTTTTTTCCCGAGATTGGAGTTTGTAGGTCTTTTTTTGGGATCCTTTTGTGGTGAATCCGTAGAGGAAAGGTGTTTTCTTTTGGGTGTGACTGTTGTCCATCCATCTTTGGCAGTGTGTGCGGAGTTCTTGTTTGTCACCTTCGTGTAAGGTAGAAAAATATCTCCGGAGTTGGAAGTGTCCATATCCGCGGGTGAAGAAGTGGAGCTAGAAATACCTGGTCCTGGTGATTTGGAAGCCATCACAAATCACAAAACAGAGGAGAGCACGTTTCTTATCAGCACTAGAGATCGGAGCGCTCGAGAGCAGACATCCGAGCTCGTTCACTTATCAGATGACACTGATTTACTTTCATGTGACAACTCAAACTCAATGCACAATCGCACACACTGTGAATCAGGTGCCATGGCTTGACTGATTGACTATTGGTTGAGAATAGACCAAATAATTTTATGCAGTTTAGAATTTGGAAGAATATATCGACGGTGTAAGTCGGCAATCACATAATTTGTTTGCGGTGTCTGAAAATCTCCGCCTCTAATGTTATTTTTTTCAGAGGAGAACAAATTGACATGATTCCTCAAAGTTTTTGCAGAATTTGCTTCGCATAGAGAAGAAAAATCACTGCAGTTTTAAAGAATAGCCGTTAAGTAGTTTTCCGTTTAAAAAATAAAGTATGATAGGAAGTCTGCGACGTCGCAAATCGAGTTATGTGATTGCCGACTTACACTGTCGATATGCTGTCTTCCGTTCAGCATTGTAAGTAATCACTAGAATCAAGATGATTAATCTTCTGTTGCACCCTGAAAGTGTGCTAATGTATTTGACGGAAGCTAGAATGAAGCTGCAGTCGTGTAAATTTGGACACTGTATCCTGGCCTGAGTCTACCTTATCTCAAATTTGCCTCATTCTGCTTGTGTCTGCAACTCTTAAAACCCAGTTCTAGTTGTGTTTTCATCATTCTTAGAGGAGATGAGAAACCTGAATGAAAAAAAAAAAGTTTCAATGGAGAACTAATTAGTTTGACACCTTTTCCCTCTGTAACGCACTGCGCACATCGATTGGAGGGCATTATAAATATTTGTTGTCTTCGTTAGAATAGAAGGTCCCATGTGCGGACAGGTGGTAATTCCACCTCCCTACCCTTTCAAATTATTGTATCTTTAGATATCGCCGGTAGTGATAGCAAGTCGATCCCTTGATTACTCAGCTAAAGAATCCTATTTTATCCAAATATCCCGGACGAAGGTTTTTTCCTCGCCATCCAGAATTTCAGGTTGAGGGCGGACGTTACTATTTTCAATTCTAGAGGGGGCAGGCCACCCCCATCTCCCCTCGCCCTTTGTACGCCCATGCATGAAACCCTTTTTTAACTAAGTAGCTAGTTTATTTTAGTTTTTACTTGGAGAGGTTTTTTGAGCTTGAAAGTTGACTTTAGAAGAAATGGTTGGGCTAAATCCATGGGCCCCAGGATAAGTTTGAAAATCAATTTAATGTCTTATTTCTTGGATTACCTCATTTAGTTCTGTTCTCTGTTTCAGGCATCAAAGATCTCAGTTCCCTGCAAACATCACTGTTGACAATTTGGAAGCTCCACCCGAAGAAGCATTGAATGTATGTTTCCTTCATTACATATCACGGCTCCGTTGAAGGGAAGTTATATGAAAAGTGACTGGTCGTCTCCGAACTCTTCGGCATCTTCAAGTAGGGTAAAAATACTATGTTTTTAGCCAAAAATCGAAATGTGTTGTTCGAGCTCCTCGAAAATAAATCGACTTATAGGCTTTTTTCTCAAAAAAATCACAAAATTGAAGAGATTACCATTTTTTTCATGGACAAATCGTATCGCAATCTAAAATCTAATTATACCGTTAAAAAGCCCTTGCTTTCAGCTTTCTAACGGCCTATAGTTTTTGTAATTTGGAGCAACTGACCGTCTATAAACGGAATTTTACTGCAATCATATCAAGGAATTTTCCGCCAACTCGGACGGCCGGTTCCTCTGAATTTATCTCTGCTATTTTTGAAATTAAAAAATAAAACATGCACACCGTTAGAAAGATCACACTCTCAGTTTTATATTGGTATAATAATTTTGGAATTTTGGGCTACTCAACGCGGGCACATTGGAATTTTTCGAAACCATGTCAAAAAACGAAGAAAAACGGGTGGCTCCGGTCAAAGTCAATTTCTCGCCGCCCATATGCACCAAAATAAAAAACCAACATGTCGTTGGAAAGCTGAAATCGTCAGCTTTCGAATGGTACCGTGGTTTTTTTGGTAGCGTTAAAAATCATGAGTAAAAATAGGAATCTCCGTCGAAGACGAAACCTTGTATTTTGGCTACTCTTTTTTGTAGGGAGACATCTCTTAATTTTTCCCCCGTAATTTTTGGGGGGATTTTGGTCACTCTGAACATTACCTGAGAGTCCTGTGTCCCATTAGACACATTAAGAATCACACCTGACTCAGAGAAAATGCAGGGTTGTCAAATTTGGCCATTTATCATAGCTTTTCCAAATTACCTAGTGTATAAGTATCGTGTTTTTGGCTACAAAAATGGGTCATAATCGGTGCGAGGTCAATCGAAAATAGAAAGCTCGAGTCGTTAAGAACATATAAGAAGCCTGTACTTCGATTTCTTTTTTGGGGGGGGGGGGGGGGCACTTTTAACACTTTATGCGAGAAAAAATGTAACAAAGATGACGATTCAACTAATTTGAACACAGCAAACCTATTGTTTAACAGAAATAAAGTTTACTTCATTGCATAAAACAAAGGATGTCGCAAAACATAGCACAATAGAATGAACAACGTACAAAAAAATCAGTCTCAGTTAATTAAGTACAATTAGATAAAGTAACAGACAATTAACAAAAAAAGATTATTAATTATAACACAAATATTAAAAAATTGATAGTAAATATTATAATAAAATATGAACTCGATGATCAGCCTTTTCATATGTTCTTAACGACTCGAGCTTTCTATTTTCGATTGACCTCGCACCGATTATGACCCATTTTTGTAGCCAAAAACACGATACTTATACACTAGGTAATTTGGAAAAGCTATGATAAATGGCCAAATTTGACAACCCTGCATTTTCTCTGAGTCAGGTGTGATTCTTAATGTGTCTAATGGGACACAGGACTCTCAGGTAATGTTCAGAGTGACCAAAATCCCCCCAAAAATTACGGGGGAAAAATTAAGAGATGTCTCCCTACAAAAAAGAGTAGCCAAAATACAAGGTTTCGTCTTCGACGGAGATTCCTATTTTTACTCATGATTTTTAACGCTACCAAAAAAACCACGGTACCATTCGAAAGCTGACGATTTCAGCTTTCCAACGACATGTTGGTTTTTTATTTTGGTGCATATGGGCGGCGAGAAATTGACTTTGACCGGAGCCACCCGTTTTTCTTCGTTTTTTGACATGGTTTCGAAAAATTCCAATGTGCCCGCGTTGAGTAGCCCAAAATTCCAAAATTATTATACCAATATAAAACTGAGAGTGTGATCTTTCTAACGGTGTGCATGTTTTATTTTTTAATTTCAAAAATAGCAGAGATAAATTCAGAGGAACCGGCCGTCCGAGTTGGCGGAAAATTCCTTGATATGATTGCAGTAAAATTCCGTTTATAGACGGTCAGTTGCTCCAAATTACAAAAACTATAGGCCGTTAGAAAGCTGAAAGCAAGGGCTTTTTAACGGTATAATTAGATTTTAGATTGCGATACGATTTGTCCATGAAAAAAATGGTAATCTCTTCAATTTTGTGATTTTTTTGAGAAAAAAGCCTAAAAGTCGATTTATTTTTGAGGAGCTCGAACAACACATTTCGATTTTTGGTTAAAAACATAGTATTTTTACCCTACTTGAAGATGCCGAAGAGTTTGGAGACGACCAGTCACTTTTCATATAACTTCCCTTCAACGGAGCCGTGATATACTTTCAGTTTCTAGTAAGGGTTCAAGAGCCAATTCTAGTGGGCATCCATAAATCATTTGAGTGTATTTTCCAAGTTGCGTAAGGTAGGTGAATTTACATGCAAAATGTTTTCATGATTGAATGCTTCCTACAGCCACAACAGCAATTTTTCATTGAAGATTGTTTTCATCATTCAATGAGTCGCTGAATCTACCAAGCACTGTGTAAGATTACGTTTCCCTCCTATTTTTAAAATTGTCAAAATCCATAACTAAGAAGAAAAGTGGGTGTATCAAAAATTGATTGTCTTATTGTGCTGACTCCTAAAGACCGAAGAAGCCGAAGGATGCAGCGTTGACTTCCCTTTAATTTATAATTCGTGTTAGTAAGAGTGGCAGAAAAAATTGTATATGAACGCTCCAAATACCCAGTACCAGGGGTACGTAAAATGTTCAACGGACTAACCAGCTGTGGGAGGGATGTGGAGGCATCTGGAAAAAGGGATAAAATGTGAAGGCACCTGAAAAAAGTAAAAAAAAAATTTGAAGGCAGTAAGCATTCAGGAATTCTCTTTTCAAATTTTAAAGACTAGGTACTTTTGAAGGAAACCATAAAATGCGTTTTTTATGAGAAGGAAATTTCTTAGTACATTCCTTTTTGTAAAGGAAATTGTATAACTTGCCCTTTTATGCAAAGAAATTAGTGAATGACATAGTCTGATGTGGACAACGTGTTCCATAAATGACCTCATAGTGCAGAATGACCCGGATGCTACATAGGTTGTCCCAAAAGTACTGCACGTTTTTTTTTTTTTTTTTTT